TAAAAAAATGAACTAAACTTTACCTTGTATGTCTTGCCATTCTCATAGCAGCCACATTCAGTCTCAGATACACATGTTTGTCCATTGAATAAGAAGCCGGCGTCGCACTCACAGCCTTCGGTACATTTATTGGAGGTGCTCTGAAGCATGTCTGTGAGGCCTGGGCAGGAATCAGAAGAGGGGTCTGCACAGACCTCATAATGACTGTTGGCTGGACATTTCATTGCTAGAAAAAAAAAACAGGACCAAGAGGTAGACATGTCAGAGGAAAATGCGCATAAGGTAAGCAAAATGAAGGAGAAAAATAATTTTCATGTCTCCCGACATGAAATGATTTTAAGATTGATTTTAGTCATATTTCTGTGGCCCTGCCTTTCCTGTTTTCCAGTTCATGTGACCTCTGCAACAGTCATAACTCCTCCCCTGATGCTCTTTTTAGTTACTAAGGATACTAACACCAGTCAACTATATATCAGCTATAATATGACCCATGTTTTTTTTTGTATGTTTTTTCAGAACCAGTTAATAATTAATAACGTTTTAACTGGATCCCTGATTCCTTTCTTAGTTACTTACGACAGAATGAAGCTGTCCTCCAGTTCGGCACCTCCGTCCCTGCATCGTGACAGTCAACAACATAGGCTGCTATGCTTTCGCACAGTACATCTTCATCTCCATTAGACGCACACACATCATACACACAGTCACTGAAGTATGACTGTGGGTCCAGTGTACTATAGCAGACTGAAAAAGGACCTGTGGGTGCTGTAACAATACCACAGTAAGAGGTCTCTGAAAGCACAGCCTTTCGAGCTGAGTCACACTCCGGACAAGAGTTCCCCTCGCAGCCATCGCTGCACGCCACACCTGGAATGGTCACTTTCCATGACTTTCCGAAGTTGTTTCTGTTAGTTGTCAGCTGCTTGTCAGGCATTTGGAAGTCGTCTTTTTGGTCACCATTAAAATTGCCACACAGGCCACAGACCTTTCCACGGTAGTTACCGGGCACTGTGACAGTCACGTGGTAGATCCGATTGTAAGTGACACGCAGTCCAAAATCTGTGGCAATAACAAAATGTTTCCCTTCCTGGTAGACGAGGACAGCTCCATCATTGAGACTCAGAGGAAGGTGGTTGAATACTCCATTCACCTAAAGAACAGGGAGAATTTGTTACTTCAAGAATATGATTAACGACAGTTGAACAAAATGATACCAGCAACAATCTTAAATGTACAAATAAAAAGTAAGTGTTCACCAGGACTCCAAACACACTGTGCTTCATGGTGACAGTGAAGCCATAGACCTCGACAGCAACCATCTTGGTGACGGCCACCACTTTCCTATTCCTCATCTTGTTCCACTGCGTGTTCTCAACCAGAACGTTGTACGGCACCAGGTGGGTACCTTCCAGCCCACAGCTCTGGGAGAGTGTGTAAGTGCACATGCCTTGGAAATCAAACACTCGCCCGTCAAAAGACCTGTAATGGGGATCACCCGAGGCACGGCAGACGCCCTTACCAACGGGTTGACATTTCTGGACACCGTTCTCCACTTTGCACTTCTCGTGGGGTCCACACCTGAACGCCTTGCAAAGAACCTGTGGAGAAAAACGTGTTGAAGTGAAAGTTTGTACTAGCACACTGGTATTTGTTAACATTTTATATCAAAAACATGTGCAGCATGTATATGTTGCAATAGGTGTGATTATGTTTTTTGTTAAGTTATTGAAACCGTCTGCAGGAAGTTAAATAAAATGCGTTCCTTCGTCAGCACCAATTACCTCTCCATTTGGCGTGCACTTGCACTCCTCCTCACACTGTCCATTTGGATAAAACACTTGTCCGGCCCGGTAGTAGCGATCGTTATAGACACAGCCGCATTTTGAGAATTGAACACATTCATCTCCACTAAGAATGTAGCCGTCATCACAGGAACAGCCCTCCGCACACTCCTCCCGGCAGCCTTGAGGAGAAGCCAGGTCCTTGCATGTGGCAGGACAGGAAGTTGCACAAACTTCGTAGTGGCTGTTCACTGGGCATTTCAGTGCTGTACACGAAGCACATTATGTAACATTTTAGTCAAGAAATTTATGTTGTGAGAGTTTAGATTGCAGATGAAAAAAGGACAGAGATATACACAGTTAAATCCAAAAGGGGAGTCAAAAAGTCTTAGGACTGAACTTAAGTTTCTTTTTTGGGGGGTTGGTGGGTTGAATTTCTTTAATTTCAGGTTTTTTCATTTTGAGGATTGACCTGATTGAATGTGTTGCAAAATAAATATATAATAAATATACTGGATAAAACAGCTGTTGAAAACGCCTGAGACATGTGTCTTACTGTGTTTAAGTAACTAAAAAGGGACAACACATTCTCTGTCAAACAACTGACTTATCCTTAAATATAAATCATTTATTTTGTAAAAAAAAACCCAAAACAAAACAAAACAAAACAGCAATTCTTACCACAGAACTGACTAGTTCTCCAGCTGTACACCTTGGCTCCTGCAGCATGACAGGCAGATGTGTATTCTGTAATGGCCTCACAAAGCACATTGTGTCTGCCATTGTACAGACAAACATCATAAACACAATCTTCAAAGTGTCCAGTCGGGTCCACTATAGCGTGACAGTCATGGAAAGGGCCTTTGGGGTCTTTAATGATACCACAGAAGTCTTTTTGCTCATACTGAACCTTCTGGTTAATGTCACAGCTGGGGCACTTCCCTTCACATCCGTCAACACAGCCTGGAATCTCCGCCACTCGCCAACTGGACCCAAAATCTGCTGGTGCAACGGCGTGGTCGCTGTTCTTTGGAATCAGATCGTCTTGGGGTTTGCCATTATAGTTGCCACATAGGCCGCAAACGGCTTCCATGTAGTTGCTGGGCAACGTTACAAATACAGCTGATATTCTGTTAAATTGAACTTTAAGCCCAAAGTTGGTGATGACATCAACATAACAGCCACTCTTGTACACGGACACCTGACCCCCTGCTAAAGTAACGGGCAGGTCGACCAGGACATCATCTACCTGGAAATGAAACACATCATGATACTTTTGTATTTATACTTTATATAATATGTTTAATAAATTAGTGTAAAAAAAACAAGTGTCATTTTTACCATAATCTGCCCCCTGTACGTCTCCGTGATTACAATGCTGAGAGAATACACTCTGATCTCCACTAACTTGGTGAACGACACCCTCTTGTTGCCACGGTGCTTATTCTGCACCCGAACTTCAAAGGGCACCAACTCTTGGTTCTTGGAGCAGAGTGCAACGAGTTGGTACACACATGTGCCCTGAAAGTCGAACCGTCTGTTGTCAAAGGTGGTGTAGTGTGGGTCCCCCGTGGCCCGACATGTGCTCTGGGACACTGGATGACACTTCTTTATGCCCTCAAGCACCTGGCACTTTGTTCCAGGTTCACAAGCCTTATTGTAGCATGCTACTTTTCTTGTTCTGGGCTTGCATTCACACAACCGCTGACAGCTCTGGTCGACCGACAGCGACTCTCCTGGAGGGATGTATCGGCCCTCGTAGGTGCAACCACACTGTTTTTCCGGCACACATTTATCTCCACTTAAAACGAAGCCCGAGTTACATGTGCAGGTCTCCACACATGGGTATTTGCATGTTGACGGTGCATTAGGGTCAGAACAAGTGGCAGGACAAGCACTGCCGCACAACTCATAATGACTGTTTGCTGGGCATTGTGGGGCTTGAGAGAAGAAAGAGAATATTTAATAGAATATATCTGATAAATCACAAGCTGGTTAGATTAATCATGATTCATCGAGATCAACATTCTTAAATATGACCCAAAAAATTCTGCATATTTCTTAAAAGACCAATAACTGCAGGTAGATGTACGTGTTTTACACTGTGGCTAGTTCAAATGATGAAACGCAAACACAGAAGCATATCAAGGGAATCACGCAAAAGTCTACCTCAAAACTTAGCTTCAGAGAGTTGGTGGATTTTAGTTGTTACTGTGCAGTTTATCAGTGGCTTGTACAACATATCTTTAAAAAGCTATTCCTCAACAATGTTAATCAGTCTACAGTCACTCATTATCCATTTGTCAACAATCTGTCAGCTTGTCAGTATTTACTGCACTGCACTGAGTGAGGCTGCTCTGACTGGAAGTTGAAGTCTTACAGTGCGAGCAGAGAATATTACATATACACGTATTAGCGCAACAACTACTTACAGCACTTTGTGTTCTGCCTCCAATCTTTAATCTGGATCCCTGCGGCCTGGCAGGCATCGGCATACGTCTCCAGTGCCCTGCAGAGGAAATGATGAAGGCCATCTCCCATACACACATCATACATGCAGTTCTCCTTGTATGTCTGTGGCTCAATGACAGCATGGCAGTCACTGAATGGCCCGTTTGGAACAGTGATAATCCCACAAAACGTCTCACCCTCCCACGTCATCATCTGGTGGTGTTTACAGCTCTTACAGCCACCTACACAATCATCTCTGCACGCAGCATCCTTCACCTGCCCTGGGACCTTCCAGCTGCTGCCAAAGGCCACAGCCCCTTGTGCTTCAGACCCAGAGGGCGTTATGAAATCATCCGTTGGGTTGCCATTGAAATTGCCACAGAGGCCGCAGGTTTGACCAGCGTAGCTTTCGGACAGCGTGACCACAAGCTGGTGTTCCCAGTCGTATCGTACGGTGAGACCAAAGTCAGCCTCGATGACTACAGAGCGACCGCTGTAAAACATGCGGAGTTTATTGTTGTTCAAGGAAACAGGCAAACTCCCCAGAATGTTATCGATCTGCAGGAAGGAGAGCAGAAAAAAACAAATGCATTGAGTGACACCACAACACTTACTGTTTATCTATAAAATATCTAACAAAAAACATCTTACCCTGACACGACCTTTCTCAGATCGAGCAACGATGACTGTGATATCATAGACTTTGACTGTGACCAGGGTGACGTAAGACACTCTAAGGTTACCACGATTCTCATTCTGGGCAAGAACCTCGAAAGCTGGAAAATCGTTCTTTTTACAGTTCTTTGCCATGACATACGTGCAGGTTCCCATAAAGTCAAACCGCCGCCCGTCGAACGTGTGGTAATGAGGGTCTCCTGCAGCCCAGCAGGTGCTGGATCCACCAGCTAGAGGAAATCTCAATATTAATGATAAACCTGAAATACGTCTGCAGTTTAAATACAATTTTTCATTCAACCTGTGTGTTTTTCTTTACCTGGCTGCAAGCATTGGGCCGGCGAACCGTAGCCAATCCTTTGATCAAGACTTATACTGTAAAGACCAAAAGGTGTCTTGGAGCTGGACACTGTGTGTTGACTGTTTCCTAGCGGGTAAGATATTTCTGCCCAAGAGAATTCTGTCCCTGTAACCTTTTTCCACTGGACAGAAGCAGGCAAGTCTTTACCATTAATCCGCAGCTCTGCCAATGCACTAGTCTGTGCCACAATTAGGGCAATGCTTTCAACGATGTCCTGAGCCACGAGAGAGAATGAGGAGCAGAACTGGTCGCTGGGCATGATGGTCATTAAAAATGGGTCCCTGTATTTATAAATTGGGTATGTGATAACATTGAAGAGCAGGAGGACCTGAATGCCATGATCGGCCTGAATCGACAGTGCCTCAGATTTGGAAGGTTTGAGCTCCTTCGTTTCCCCGGCGGACAGAGAAAAATCATTTTTTGTGTTGCCACTTTGAATGACAATATGCGTGGGCTGGGAGGACTGAAGGTAAATGTTAACATATTTGTTCTTAGTGCTTAGAGGAGGGACTATAAATTTAGACCCCCATCTGTTCACAGGCAGTAGCTGCTCATAGAGATGATCACATCTCGAGAACTTGTTGAAGCAGGTGTGACCAGTGAAAACAGCCACCGGGTGCTGGGAGACAACTCTGATGCTAGACAGGTCGTGTTCACTATAGAATTGGACACTCTCGTACGGCTGGAGCTCCACAATTAAATGCTTTAAGGTTTTTTGGTGGAAAACAATTTTGTCTTTTGCTAAAAATTCAACTCTGTTTTTCTCTTTTCCATTTGTAACAGAGAATTCATTATAGTAAAGAGAACTCGGTGTGAACATAAAATAGTCTCGCCCCCATTCAGTGACGGGGTACAGCACAGAGGTTTCAGCTGTATAATCCTTGTAGTTTAAAGCCGTCACGGACACTTTTGCTGAGGCCGCAATAAGCACTGTGTTGGGTGAAGTCTCAGTTCCATGAATCACTGTGGGCGGAAGGATGGCGGTGAACCTTTCTCCAGCTTTAAGAGTTCTTTCTTCCTTAAACTTTAAAGGAAGCACGGACACCGTCACTTTAGTCTTATCCTGACTGGCAGTGATAAAAAGTTTAAACTGGCTTCTGTATTTTAAATTATAATTGGTCAGGAAAGGCAAGGCAAACTCTGTGCCCATTGAGCCAGTACACGATGAACCTGACAGATGGGGCAAGAACAAGGACAAAGATGTAAGGAACAGTTGAAAATGAAACAGTCAGATATGAAGTAGGATTTCACAACACATGTAGTTATTTGGCAAAAAAAAAATTTGATTTTTGGCTTGGTTCATCTTGGGTCACATGACCAGCACAATCAATCAATAAAACAGCAAAGAAGCGGTGACTGACAAAAACCACATTCATTTCGAAGTTACAAAGAAAAAATAAATGCTTTTCTGTGATGGATGTTTTTTTCATAAGCATTGTCAGGGATGTAAAGGAATAGACACTTGACTGCCTCTCAGCAGCACTCAATAAAACACTTTTGCAGACAATATAATTGCATAATGGAAATATTATCAATATCTGTGGCTATTCTCTAAAGAAAAAAAAAGAAGCATTTTTTCCTGCTCAGCCGAGCGCCTGCGGCGTTTAGATTACACCCCTGGTTTGACAATCAAATATAATAGTTGCAACTCAATAGTAGCTGAAGGTAAATGCCCCACAAAAACAAATTTCAATTTAGATAGCCATCCTCTGTGTGCTGCTCTCTGGTATTTATATATATTCTTCATACATTCACACCAGCACCTGGAACGGCTGCACACCATTACACACTAGATGGGATTGACAGCCTGAATTAATTTCCTTAAATTGAGCAATATTTTGGCTTCATGTCCTGAAGTGGAATCCAGAGCCAAGAAAAATGTGAAAAACTGACCAATCCGAATCACATTCTGCCGGGATTATTAACTGCTAACGCATTTTTGTGTGGATTTCAGCATTGTTGTTAAAAATACTCCTTAATATAATATAAACTACAGTATACTCACAGCTGAGCAGAACGACTAAACACACGAGCAGCAGTGAAGTATCCATAGCTAGAAGACAAAATAAAAATTTTAGTTGCAGAAACAGAATATTTTAAATCTATCAATACTTTCACATCAAAGAAACTCTTACCTGCGTTGTGTAAGGCCCGAGAACTGCCTTCAAGCTCGTGGTTTTATACATGTGGATGGATGAAAAGTATATCCAATCAGAAGCCTTAAAGCTCTGGAGCGTCCAGAGCTAAAAAAAATTATCCCTTCTCCTAAAACAACTGAAGGCAGAGCCACGTCAGCGCCACTGTATGTTTACACCGGTAAAATACACAAACTATTAGTGATATACTTAACTTACAATAATAAACCCAGTGTTATACTTGTAGTCGTGAGTGCTAATAAACTGTCATAACATTTACTATTTTTACTATTTTAACTATTTCAAAAATGCAACATGGATGTAATTTAAACTATTTCAAAAATGCAACATGGATGTGACAAACCTGGACCTAATTTGAAAATGATGCCACAAAATAAAATGAACAAAATCTTCCTTTGATTTACATTTTACACTTTAAATGGGAAAGTGAACTCCTTGTCATTGTGACACAGCACACCACTGCACACAACCAAATGTCACCTCTGCCTTTAACCCATCACCAAAGTGAACAGGGGAGCAGTGTGTGGGGACGGTGCCCTGCTCAGAGCACCTCAGTGGTAACTTGGCAGCTGGTGGATTCGAACCTGAAGTGTCCCGGACCTGAGTCCGCTTAGCCACCACTGCCCCAGTTTTAGAGAAAATACATGTAAGAACGGATCACATGTATTTTATTTGGGCATGTATTATATTTGGGCAGAATTAAACATTAGCCAGTTGCGATGCAGTTTGGCTAATCTCATTATCCGTTCTTTGGTTAAAGTGTCAGCCTGTTTAAAAGTCCACAGCACTGTTTAATCCGCACTTAAGTCCGAAGTCCGTGTAAGTTCTCAGTCATCCAGGTCGTGACACCTGAAACTACATCTTAAGTGTGATTATGTCGTAGTGTAAGCATATCCCTTGTCTTCCAAACAGTTCCATTGAGATGTTTTTAAAAGCTCTAACGTAAATATCACCCAGCCCTAAAAACATGCATTTGATATTTATACTAACAGGGTTGAATTAAATTTAAGGCTCAAATATTTATTGGATGATGAATTAACAAAACAAAAACACGCCTTGATGGTTCCATCTTAGTTTGGTTTGGTTTAGAGGCCTCACTCACCAGAAACCACCTTGTTATGGGCTACATGAGGACCAATGCAGCTGATGCAAAAGTAGCTCAATAAAAAGTGAGTTTGAAACCATAGATTTACAAAAGTGTTGAAGTGGAGGTCGTCAGGGTTTGCACAGGAGTACCAGAGCTTGAGCACCAGCAAGAGACTAAACACAATCTTTATCTCAAACCACTCAGGGTTCAGACTTCTGACTTGTACAAGGAAAGTGATTAAGACAATATTTTACCTTGGTTTCAATAGACAGTCATTAAAATCTGACTGGAAATCCATGCAGGGTGTCCTGGAAGGCAGCGCAGAGACAAACGCTGCTGCACCATAGAATTAGATCAGCCTGAGCCACTTCTCACTGTTCTCATCACAGCCAGACGTCACAGCGGAAGATATATCTGGTTTGCAGCTGAGCCGCTGCCCACCAATTCTGGTGATTTGGACGCCGTCCCAGAGCGTACAGAATTCTGGCCCTGTCGCAAAAGCAGCAGAAACTATTGCTTGCTGTGCATTACTGAGCTGGATTGCTGCCCGTCACTTCACATTCCCCTCCACCTAAAATATGGTAACAGCAAGTCTTGGTGCAGTTCTCAAAGACTAGTTTCTGTTCCTACCATTGAAGAGAAATGTGAAATAGTATGCATTAGTTTTCCTGTGTCTAATAAACATGTATCTATAGCCTGAACATTTTGGGGAAAAAAAGAAGAAAAAAAAAGAGACCAGGTCCCAAAATGTTCGATCTGGTTAAAATAAGGCAAAAATCATTTTCACAGTCAATAGAAACTATTTGACATTAATGTGTTGCAAAATATGTAAAAAGCTGGCAATGGTTTTTACAAGAAAGAAAACTCTCCCCTTATGATGCTTTTAGAAATTCAATGACTTCAATAAAATACACAAACACACTTTGTCTTTACAAGCAGGTACTTTGTGCAGAACAATGTCTGGCACGACACTGTTGACAAAAACAAAGTTCCAGCGAAAGATGGGTAAGTGTCTAAGAATTCCAAATCCTCTGCATCACTGGTACTTTCAAATGGACCAGTGATCTGATCCACCTATTTGCGTTGCTCCACTGGAGCCACCGTGATGATCCAGGTGTGGACCACTGTCATCTAAACAACTTTGTTTGCTTGTAGAAACCACGTGTCCTGGTCCAAGGTTCTCTCCCTTGGGAAACAGACACAACCATGTGGACGGACACAGAGAGCGACACTGTGATCTCTGCCCATTTCACATCAGCGGTTCCTTGTGTGTTTAAGCATCTCTGTTGTGTTAATTCTTCAAACAAGCCCGATATTGAGCCACGGGAGGTGGAAGGACACGGTAGGTCTGTGGAGACGAACCCACCGATAACAGTCAGGAAGGACAAGAAGTTGCTGCATTTAATGTGGTTGACCAGTGATGCATTACTACCATCTAGTGGTGCAACGCCATCCCAGGCTTATGGCCTTGGTGGCCCTGAGTCACAGCACATTCCATGCACATTAAACAGAAAACGTATCTGAGATCAAGGCAGGAAAAAACAATCTGATTTGCGTTGTGAATAATCACCCCTCAGTTTTTTAGCGCCGTGTGATCAATATTACCACTGCTTCTCTGCTCTTAATGAAATGTGTGCTTGCAGGGACATCTGCAAACTCTCCAGATTTCATTTGGGGTGTGATGATGCTGAACATCAAACCACTCGGTTTCAATTACAGAGGATATTATTTTAATTTACTGCCACCACATAGCTGGAAAATGAAAGAAAATAATAATTTAAAAAAACTTACAGCAAAATTCAGGATCCTGGGCACAAACGTACGACAGCTGAAAACCAGGCCAGGGAGCGGAGACCTCCAGGAGGATACAAGTCACTGAGGCAGAGCTTGTAAAAGCCCGAGGAGTCCACCTCTCCATGACAGTGTCGGGAGGGTCCATTAGCTTCCAGAACTTTCCCGCTCACCTCCAGGTCAGAGGAAAGAATCAGACTTTCAGCAGATTGTGGACAACTTCCTGCTACACAAGTCACACACACATACACACACTGAGTGTTTTCATAATATCAAAATATCCAGGACTCAAATGTAATTTTCTGCCAGTTATAAAGTTATGGAGAAGACTAGACCAATTGTAACGTGGCGGTTTGTGTCGACGTTAGCTTGCACTCCTGGTGCAGTGACAATAATAACAAACGGCTCGTTCCTCTTCACGGCATCAACCTGTAGGGGGTGCCAAACACAAATTGTTAAGCATACTTTTCCTATTAAAATCAGCAAAGTGTAACACGAGTAGTGTTACAATTAAACCTCAAAATTAAACCTCAAATAACCCATTATAATGTCGAAGCTCCTAACTGTGGTGTGACATTTAAAAGGCAAACTGGAAAAGTTCTTCATTTCATTTCATAATTATAATAATGTTTCAATAATATTTCTGTAGGAAGTTAAAAAAAATTTCTCAGCGTCACAGATGAATCAATAATATTGATGTCGACGTGACGTACCGTTCGTCTGCCTGTACACATACAGTATACACAGTTACACGCCTTAATGTGAAAACAAAATCATATTCATAATGGCGTTCAAAGCTTCTGTCTCCACAGCGTGTATCAGAGCCTCGGTTTGAATCCTGAACTGAACCACATCAGGTGGGAGTCAGGTTTACAGAAACACTGCTCGGTTTACCTCTCACCAGCCCAGAGGTTCTGGTTTCTGTGGCAACAGTGGCCTGCTACAAGTGCAGACACAGTGGGACAAGAGGACACAGGTGTCACCATCCCAGACAAATCCTGGGACACAGCGGTTGGTGTCCACCCAGGTCACACAGGTGTCTGGGGCTTGAAATAAAAGAACTAGTGCAGGTGGCAGCACGTGCTGTGTCACAGGACAAGACAAAATCGAATTCTTAAGGAACAGAAACTACTAGAATATTTTGGAAAAATCCAAAACAAAAAACAAAAAACACTACAGGTGTTAAGAAGACCCTGATTAGAATAGTTCAGTTGTTTTGACATCAAGATTTTTTTTAAGTGACATCTGAGTCGTAAAGCCACACTGAGAATAAAAAAACATATATTATAAGATAAAAGTTGTTAATTTATGAGAATAAAGTTGTAACTTTAAGAAAAAAAAGAAAAACAAACTACCACTTTTTTTTACTGTAACGTTAAGACAATTTTGCTCATATTGTTACTACTTTTTGTTCCTCAATAATTCACAATTTCAATCTTGGAATTGTATATATTTATTCTCAATGTGGCCTCCACACCAAGTAACCCTGCAACAGAATTTTTGAAATAAATATTCCTACAAGTAGAAGGCTACTTCTTTAACTCCACACAGAAATACTGTAGGTCAGGGCTGGGCAAATTATTAGGCCAAAATGAGGTTCAGGATTTGACTGCAGTCAAAGTTTGAACCCAATTACATATTAGTTGGATGTAAAATCTTGTACGGAATAATTTCAATAAAATGTACAAGAACAAAGCCTATGCCTCAAAGATAATTTGGCATGTTTAATGTCTGCTGCCATCTAGTAGCATCAACAAGAATTACGCTCTGTTGTAATGCATGAAACAGAAGGCTTACACCATACCTTTACCATACCTTGAAACAATGTTTGGTGAGCTGGTTCAGAAAGCCTAGCAGGCCGCATCTGGCCCGCAGGCCGTAGCTTTATCAGGTCTGCTGATATTGGTGCTGCATTATGGAGGGAGCGATATCGTTAATGTTAAGGTGACGCCGAACACTTTAAAACACAGTGTACTGAAGCTGACGTGGGTTTTATTAGTCGTTGGATGTCCTCATATCTATAAAAATACATTTGCTGAGCTTACACTTCCTATACCGCCACCGTCATCTATACAGTATAATACAATGTATTATTATTAGGGAATGTGTGGCTGAGGAATCCCGATGTAATCCACCGTGGAGGAGTCCCGTGTAGGACTCATAAAAACTAGTACAGCAGAGAAACAGAGCATTAATCAGGAGTCCATGAACTCCCAACTCAAAAAGCACATTTAGACTGGCTATTACAGTACAGCAGGTGACAAATACAGTTGTGATCTCACTGGTAAAATGTCAAGGCCTTTCCCAAGAGCAATAAATATTATATGAAAGGGTGCATTATTGTCTGTGATTGACAAAGAAACTAAATCATTCCAAAGCCCTGAGGCAGACAGGAGTAGATAACCTGAAAATGACAGGGCAGCGAGAGAGAGAGAGGAAATTCTTTGTGCTGCAGATGAAGTTACAAAACATCCCTTATAGGAAAATCAAAGTGGCATAAAATCTGATAACACAAGCCCAGTGACAGTTAGCCCTATGAGGAATTGTCACCCAACCCAGCAGAACCAGCTGGGCTTACCTTGACTTGAACAGCCTCAGGTATTGTTAAGGG